GCATTTAATAATCAAGAATCTGAAATTAGGCGAGAATGTTAACAGCTTCACACAGGAACGCTGCAACAAGACTTTAACCAGCAGATACCACTGTCCTCTAGTGGACACATAGGACATGCACTGCCCTGGTAACTGGCGGTATCCCCGTTAGTAGCTGCAGGGAATACTCGTTTCAGCACCTCAGCTGTTCAGAGTAACTTAGTTGCAAAAGCCCAGCTAAGCGGATCACACAGTAGGAGTGAATGACAGAATAAAATAAAAGCAAGCTGCCTAAGCATGCCTGCTGGAAGCCATCTCCACGTTTGTTTGGAGAGGCACAGTGTGTGGTGGATCTCTTTGCCGTGTAACAGAACAATCAGTCCTGACAGAGGAGGGAGAACTATACTCTTAATTAGTTCTTCCTTCTCCCAAGAATTAACCTATCATATCAGATTTTCTGCTTAATACCCCTCTTTCCTCTTCTCCTTCTCTTCCAACATGCCTTCCTAAGCAGAGTATAAAGCTTATCACGTCATCATCCATGATGCCATTCTAACATTCTATCAGTAAAATGGCCTAGAAATTAAAGAAAGGCAATGCAAGATTATTATTCTTCTCACAGCACAGTTATAGGGACTTACAAGAGAGGAGGTTAACTGCAGCTCCCTATTATAGCTTTGTTAGATTAATATCCATAGTGGGGAAGAATAAGTCAGTAAGGCTCTATTAATATAAGTGATGATGATTCCTTTTAAGTTGTCCTTAAAGAATAGTTAAGGACACTGTTCAACAGAGTCTAAAAATAGGAACTCCGAGAATTTGTGGAAATACATGAGGAGAGGCTAACATGCTGTTTCAGGAAATAAGACACTGCAACGTGACATAATCCTGAAAGAAATAAATATAGCTTCACTGATTTATCTCCCTACAGAAAGCAAAGTTGGTACTGTAAGGAAACACTCAGCTCCCACTGTGTGGGGTTGCAAGTTACAGTGTCCTTGCTGTGACAGCAACTGCCCACTTTCCCTTGCGTTCAGCATTAATACACTTGTGGAGGAGAATTCTTTCCAGTAAAATGTGAATGAAGCTCTCAGTTTGTTAGGACTGGGCTCAAGCAGAAGACTTCATAATGAAGTAAAACAAAATCTTCAAAAAGAAAAGAAAACACAAAACTATTGGTGGGGCAGGGGGCATGGGGTAATGTCAGCTTCAAGAAAGCCTGAGAATAAAGAAAGGTCTGTACCTACTACACTTACAACTTTCTCATGCCCATAGTCACACACACACACCTTCATACAGGCATGCCCATTTCCACCAAAGGACATGTTCATCAAGTTTTGTTATCCCAACTGTTGAGAAGAGCGAGCACAGGAAAACACCAGAGTATTTCCAGTGTGTCTGACAAAGCAAAGAAGTCCATTGTCACTCAACCCTTAGAGTTTTCCAGGGTACTTGCTGGGAGTTCTATTACAAGAACTTACAAACGGGTGCCTTGTTTCACACCTTCACACAGAGGTCATTTTAGTTTTGCCCCTTTGGTTACATTTTACATTGGAAATTAATCCTTCAGCTTCAGAATCCAAACAGCTTCAAGACTTCATAACTTTCATCTGGTAAATTCCTTTTTTCTAGCCATGTAGCAACATGAAATAAAGTGAAACCAGACAGGTAGGTACAAACAGTGAGTTTTTTGCATTTTTTCAGGTTAGTCTGTTTGCTCCTCTCAGACTTTGCTTCCCAACCAGTGCTTGGAATTACTGTGCCTAAAAAACAGGCAGGTACTAAGGCTGCACTTACTTCTTCCAACACCTGATACTCTCATCAAACAGGTATTGAGGCACATATACAAGAACCACTTCTACAGTTTTCTGTAGGACACAGAGAAATTATGCTTATTATTAGGCAAGTATGTGGAGACATTTTGCAATAGACAGCCAAGCCATTTCTTTTGTGCATGCTCTGCAGCCTGCACAGCCTGTTCTCCAGAACACGTGTGTTTATGCTTTTCCCCTCAAGAAGTTCTTTTGGACAAATTCACTGCTCTGTTCATCACAGGTAAAAGATGAGAAAGCTGGGGTTTTGATATGTGACAAATTTAATCATGGACCCTGTGGTGTTCCAGGGTGTGGACCCTGGAATTCTCTATAAACAGAGTAAACTGCTCCTACTGGGTCATATGCTAGGAGGGCAGACATTCAAAATCTTTGCAATTGTGTCTTTTTGCCCAAGCAGCTCAAAATCCAGTGAGAATTAGCAGCACCCTCAATGTGTCACAGATACTTAAGAACTTTCCTTTGTTTTAAGATCTTAATCTGTTCAGCAAGCATAGATGTGTCTGACTAAGATTTCACCATGGTCCAAGAAGAAAGTATGGGCTGCAGAGTAGAGCTAATTAAGCAGGAGAGTTGACAGGGTCTTGACAGACATTTTATATGCCATATACTTACATCAAGAGTTTTTAAAAGTACTGGCTATAGCTAGATGGATAAGGCTTAAGAAAGCTGTGATACCTGTTACAGAATTAAACATGTTTTCTTTTTGCACATAAGCACACCTCTACATGTGGTTAATTAGTAGTAACTTTACTCAGTGTTAAACAGAATAAATGAAAATGTGGGGAAGAAAGCTTAGTGGAAAACTGTTATGGCATGTAGTTATAAGGAGACTTTACAGGAGGCAGCATAGTTCACATTAGAGGGCCAGTAAAAAAAATAAAACATAAAGCAGGTGAAAAATGCTTTCATTTTTTACCTACCCAAGGTATTTAGAAAAGGAACATAACAAAACACACTCTCCTGCTTTATCCTGGCCTAGAGCAAAAGAGAAACCTCAAACTGTTGCAACCACAGAGATAACTTATTAATCCAAATCTCATGTTTTACTTATCTATTTGGACTTTTGGGACTCTTTGCAGTTTTTTGGTTGATTGACTTTTGTGCCAGTAGGAAACAGGCCAGTGCAAAGGTAATGCACAGGCTAGGAAGTTTAGCACCTCAACAAACCTAGGGAGTAGACCTCAATTCCAATTCAGGTTAACAACAGAATCCAATCCACTGTTATTTATCACCAAATAAAAACCTTCTTTGGTCAGAATACCTCCAGGCAACCCCATATTGCTGTATCTGTGCAGAGTAAAACTTGCAGGGGATCCTCCACTGTCTTGATGTAACCTTATCATATTTATAGAGATCGCAGATGTACATCTTGACTCTACTGGAGGGAAGACAAGGTGAGACAAGGTATAAAGTGACACCCTTGTAACAGCTACTTTGCCTGGCAAACTTGTATGTTTACATGGGAAATTAAGGCATAAGGAAAAACTTTTTTCTTTTTTTTTTTTTTGGCATGGAAGCATGAAGCTCTTACATTTTACATTTTGTTTTGTATAAAACATACAATTTCAATTATAAGCATATAGTTAAGGCAGTGTTATAATTAGTTACGCTAATATAAAAGGGTTCGTATCAATACAACCTGTAAACTACACCAATTAAGGGAAATGAATCAGCACATGGTGTCTTTGCACCACTAGTGTCCATCCAAGGTGGTATACTGGTAATGCCGCCAATCTGATCTAGTTGAAGATGTCCCTGCTCATTGCAGGGGATTGGACTAGATGACCTTTGAAGAGCCCTTCCACCAAAAAACGTTCTGTGATTCCCTGATTCTGTGACTACAGCAGGGGAAAAACCCTAACAGAAAAAGAAAAAAAAATCAAATGTAACCAGTGCACAAACCTGTGAGTACTAGTATAACTAGCTGTTAGTACATAAATCCAGTTCTTTGACTCATAGATGTGTAGAGATGGAAGACAGCTCAAGAGATTACTTAGGCCATCATGCCTAAGGCCCGACTGGCTTTATTTTGATGGCATTTTGCAGTGTCTGTAGAGACTTCCACAAGCCCAAGTGCCTTAGAGACAAGTAACAGGTCAGCAATGAAACCTGGATTGAGTGTGAAGGAAAGCCATGTGATTAACACCTCTCCTTAAGCAGAGACCATTTCTAGCATCACTGAGATATGGATATATATATTACTATATAGGCTCTCAGAGCAGAGTCAGAGAGAAATTGTGGCACCCCATCTCTCATACATCTTGCAACCTGCCCTCATTTTGCAAGAGGAGTTGAGCACCCAATTATTTACAGAGCTCTACAGCCCTCTAAGCCTAAGGTTGTAGTCCCAACACCACCTAATCCAAGTGCAACCTCAAACTGGAAATGCCTACATATGACAGGAAACAAGGGTTTCCCCTAAGACCTCTAGAGTCCTTAAAGCTCCATCTTTGTGTATATCCAAGAGCAGTACCCTCAGACAGCTCAGAATTTCCCTGGTATCTTCTCCCCAGTCTCCTCTGAGGCTGCATCCTGTAGCTCCAATCTCAACTCATGCAGTTCCTCAGAAAAAGCCATCTATGGCCACTACATTCTATTACACAAATAATATACTTCATACTAAAAGCCCTGTGTTGAAGAAAAGTCAGAATCAAGCTTTGACTGTAGATCCAGAATCATGAGCATCTCCCAATAAGCAGTCAACCTGCTCAGCAGGCTACTTTGAAGAGGCTCATGCTCACTTGCTTCAGAAATCTGAAGGGAAGAGGCAGTTTAACTCATGCTCTAGCAAGTCAAGCACCCTGGAGGTGCGAGGAGCAGACTTTAAACCTTCCCCACCCCAAGCAAATAATAGAATAGTTAGGGTTGGAAAGGACCTTAAGATCACCTAGTTCCAACCCCCTGTCATGGGCAGGGGCACCTTCCACTCGATCATGTTGCCAAAGGCTCTGTCCAACCTGGCCTTGAACACTGCCAGGGATGGAGCATTCACCACTTCTCTGGACAACCCATTCTAGTGCCTCACCACCCTTACAGTAAAGAACTTCTTCCTTGTATCCAACCTGAACTTCATCTGTTTTAAGTTTAAACCCATTACCCTTCGTCCTATTGCTACAGACCCTGATGAAGAGGCCTTTTTCAGCATCAAAGGGGAAAACATCCACGGTTTGAACTCTGCTCTCCCACCTCTGCAGGGATGCTTTGGCACTGCTGTGCGCTCTGATGGAGAAGCCTCCACAGCAACCGCTGCGCCAGCCCGGGTCCTGTCCGAAGGAGGGAGGTCTTCAGTAAGGGGCCACGGCTGGTAAGGAGCACAGAAAAACCTTTCTCAGATCCCAGCTGACGTGAGAATATAAACTCGCTCCTTTCAATAATACAGAATCATAGAACCACAGAATGGTTTGGGTTGGAAAGGACCTTAAGATCGTCTAGTCCCAACACCCCTGCCATGGGCAGGGACACCTCCCACTAAACCATGCCACCCAAGGCTCTGTCCAACCTGGCCTGTTGCCGGGGAGCTCGGGCTTCCCACGCTGCCCGTACACCGGGGCCCCTTTTCGGGGGGGGGAGGGGGAGGGGGAGGGGAGCCCCGGTTCTGTTCCGCTCCTTTCGGTCCACCCCTAGGCCAACTCGCGGCCCCCGACCACCGCGACACGCACCAGATCCACCCGACCGCTACCAGCGCTCCCTCCCAAACCCCTACGTCAGCTTCCTGCGCCGCTCCTCCTTAAAGAGCCAGTGCAGCAGGGCTCCCGCGGTCGGGGTGCCCCTGCGCGGGTGTCGCCCGTCTTCCGTTCAGCACCGCGGCTGTTGGCAGGCGGTGCCGGCGCCTTTCCTGGTAACTGGGTCCGCTGGGCCCGCATTGCGGTGCTTGAAGTTCCTGTAGTCTAAGGGAGAAAACGGCTTTGGTTTTGGTCTTGGTTGCCCCTGCACCGCGAGGAGCAAGTGGCTGGGGGCCGATGGGCGACACCATCCCATGGCCTGGAGTGCTGCCTGTAAACGCGCTGCACTGCGAGGAGCATGTAAGACTTAACTAAACAGTAATAATAAAAAATTCAGCGGGCTCTGTGTATTCGGAGGGAACTGCCTGAAGGACGCCCCCTGCTTTATGAATAAGAAATAAGGGTTTTCACCAAATTGCCCTGTCTTCCCAGTTGGCCAGTCTGTCCGTCCTTAGAGGGGGTTTCAGGTGACCCGTGTGCAGATGCAGTTTTACGAGACAGAAGTCTTGTAAAGACCTCCAGGCTCTGGAACAGGATTTTACGGGCCACAGTTGATGCCTTCCAAAGAGACATCCTAATAAAGTCATCTGCATATAAATGCAATGCAGTATTGTGAAGCTCTTATTTTTAATTGCTGGCTGGCACCCTGCTAACTCGTCCACTCTTTTCCTATCCTTTATGCTCTGAGTGGGAGGGATTTATCACCATTTTCAGATATCAGGCCACTTCTGCTCTTATGTTAGCCTGTGCTCAGCCAGAGGGGAGAGTTCTGCTCACACTCCTGAGCCAACTCCTTATGCACCACCTCTGTGATACGGGCATCCCTTCCTGTGCAAACCGGGCCTGGTTGGCACGGAGCTAGTAAAGCCATGAGATACGAGGTCACGCTTCGCAAGAAAACTGGAGAGAGGGGAGCTTTTTGAAAGTAACTTTGACTCAGAAACTGGCAGGGCATCCACCTGCCCGTGATGAGTGACGGCTTTTCATCACTTGTGGGTTTGGGGTTTGCCTCCTTTTTGTTTCTTAAACTGTCAGTACCTCAACCCACAGTGTTTTTTCCCTCCACTTTTGCCCTTCACTTCTCTCCCTGCAAGGGGAGTGTATAAGCAGCTGGGGGGGGCTTACCTGCCAGCCAGTGGCACCATGACAGACAAGTGCCACTGAAATTGATGCAGAACAGTCTGGAGAGCATCTAAGCCCAAGCACTAGTAAGGGGATGAATGATAAAAAAGTCTTAAATAATTTATTCATGAACAATTATTTGAAATATAAATATTACAGAATAAAGTGGTCTTGAGTACAAAACTAGTATCTCTTTTCTCATATGACAAGGTAAACCATTTTCTTTCCATGTACTTTTCTGCTCTTGAGTCCTAAATGTCGCCGACATCTTCTCTCAGACTGCCCTGTGAAAAAGGTTGGTCTCGCTGGTTTTGGATTTTTACAGATCAGAAGATAAAACATCCTTCTGAGCCTTCGCAATACAAAAGTAACTATTTGTGTTTCATCAGATGGTTCTTCATATATGGGTTGTTTCATATCTAAATAGGCAGACATAATGACACCTTGGAACAGATTGATCAAGACACAAACCATCACCACCACAAAACAGGCTAGGAAAAGGCCACCCAGCAGCCTGTTGGATGAAAATTCGGTATCTCTGAAAGCTGAGACACAGTAAGAGACTATGGTCTGAGCTGAGTGAATAATGCTATTGTAACTCTTTTCATGCTGACCAAACACAAGGTAGCCGAAAGCTGAAAATGCAAAGAAACACAACACTACTATGACGGCCACTGAGGAGATTTCAGGAAGGGCTGCCAAGAGTGATCTTTGTGCCAGGTGCATGTCATAAAAGAACTGAGAATATTTTAGAGTTTTCAAAATTACAAGAAATGCTAAAAAGCCCATTGTATCCCTTAAAAACTGATCTAAAAGAGAAACTGCATGAAAATAAATGAAATCATTTGGGTGAAGTAAGTAAAAGTTCACTATATCTGCTCCCATCTTAAACTTTATGCCCTTTAAAAGAAAAAGAAGGAGGAATGCTAATTTTAAGGGAAAGTTGATTAGATTGGAAATTTTTTTCATATAGTGTTTTTTTTCTTGGCCTATGACATAAAGTTCATCTGCAATGTAAATGATCAGAAAGGCAAAACCAATTGCAGACACAAACATCTGAGCTTTGGTTTGCTGATTAAAAATTGGGAGTGCAAAAGAGTGGACTGACAAACTTGGTTTGATGATCCCCAAATGAGACATTTCAAATATGACTGAGATGGTACAAAAGAGAGCTGCATCTGAGTTAAATGTAGTTAGTTCAATGATCACAGCCCATGTCTTTTCATCAAGCCAGTTGTTCTGTTGTAGAGTGTCCAACCTTGTTGTTGAATTAGATCTTCCTTCTTCAGGGAAGAAGTAAAATGTGTATCCTGCAGGTCGATATGTGTACAAATCTCCATATGAATAATACATCCATGGGGTCTCGTTTGGCTCATACGTGAAACCACTGTAACTGCTGGCATATCTGAAAACAGATTGGTTGGCAACTCTTGTCCAGGTGCCGGCGTAGTCACCTTTCTCTGGGATATCGCTGCCATACTTGTGAAGACAGTGGCTTTTCCTGATCACAGAGTTATTTAGAAACCTGTGAGGATGGAAACATTTTTTCTCAGTCCCTTTAGCCCGCACCTGCCTCATTCGGGGCAAGCCGATGATTTTGGACCAGCTCTCAGGAAGAAAGGTTGGCTGAATGTCATTGTGGATCAAAGGTAAGAACACGTCTTTCACCCACTTATAGATATCTTCTAGCTTGTCTACACTGGAAAGTTGTAGAGAGAATTTGTGATGTATGAACTTGTTGTAGTGGAAACTGCTGGCCTTCTCAGCAGAATAGGCAAAATTTAACAGCAGTGTTAAAAAGACAAGGTGACTGATGAAACCTGTGGTGAAAATAAATGCCTTGACTTTAATTTTTGCTCTTTTACGCATTTTTGCAACATCATCAGCTTCTAAAGGCCTGTAGTGCTTGCTGCCTCTGACTTCAGCCAGTTTCAAGTGCAACTGTCTCATCTCATCGACACTCATTGTTTCTCCAGCCAACATAAACTCACAACACCTGTCCTCAGTTAACCATGGGATGTCTTCACAGTGTTTTGGGCGAATTGTACTCACCGCTGAGAAAAAAATGATTTTTAGAATTGAAAGGAAAAACACGTTCTCAATAAAGGAGGATGCAGATGCTATAAGCCACTCTAGTGAAGTCTGATAGCCATAAGACAAACCATATAATACAATGAAAAATGATGATAGCCCAGTTACAGATATAACTAGTGCCCACGAGACATAGACACACCACCAATGAAAAACGATAGGTGTTCTCTTGTGAAGGAGCATGGAGGTGGTGCCTGGTGGTTTCCTTTCTTCCTGAGAGTTGCCGCCTGCTTCTCCATAGTTCTTACTAAAACTGGAATGTGATGGTGGCCTTCCCTGGCAGGCTTCAGCCACGGGAGGGGAACTTGCAGTTATTGCCTGCTCTTCTGTTCCAATTACATTTGCATCTCTTTCAGGAACAGTGCAATTCCTCCAGTTTGGGGGAGCTCCCTTGCTTCCTGTCCTCTTGGAACGTGGTGGGCTCTGTGAGTTGTTGGCACCAGGAAGGGTCTTGGAGGGACTGATACTCCTTGATTGTTCTGAGAGGTATGATTTTTGCAAGTGTTCCTTCGAATTCTTACAGTTTCCATATAGGAGGTATAAGCTTTCCTTTGGGACTCTCTGAACCACACCATGAGGAGGAAGAGATTCCTTCTGGGAATACTTAAAGAAGGCAATTATCATCATTTCCACAGGTATGGTAAGCAAAGCACATTCAATTCCTAGTGTTACTGATCTCAAATACCTCAGGTGTACTGATGATTCTTCATTCTTCGTAGCATTAAAGAACATGATGTTAACAAGCAGGCTAAATAACAGTATTGCTAAACATGAAGACAACCTTTGGAACCTGCTGTAAGTGCCAGTGAGATAATTAACAAAAATGGAGAGCCACAGATGGCCCTCTATTAGGCTGTTGGTAAATTTAATAAAAAAACAGTCAATTCTGGACAGCAGTTTCTTGTGGCTTGTGACAGAAAATGTCCTTTCTATTAAACCATCGCCCTTGTTGAGTGCAAGCCATTTCCTGCACATAAAGAACCAGGTCTTCCTAGTGGACATGTTCTCAACTTTGGCTCTGCTTAAGAACCAGCTTGGAGATGGGCCCTTGTTATTGTGCCAGACCCTGAGGGAACAAACATCTCCCAGGCCTTCCTTAGCAGTTAACAGAAAGCAGTCCGTGCTTCCTTTTTGGAAAGATGGAAAATGTGGGTGCCATAAACAATGGACGTCGCTCATGCCATTTTGGCAGATGAGCTGAAGAAAGACATTGGCTGTGGTTCCAGCTCCCCAGCGACTGCCTGTGTATAAAGTGATCAAAAAGTTCACTTTGTCAAAGGGGTCATTGTCTGGCAGAACTAGAATCTTGT